AAATAGTGTAATCATATTTAAAATACAAATGTTATGAAAAAGAAATAAATATTTGCTTAAAAAGAGTCTCAATTTATCCAGTTTATTGTAATGCTTATAGTATAAAAAGAATTAAGATATAATCTATTTATCTAAGTTTTGAGTTGTTTTTTTGGTCATTTTCATGGAATTCTTCTGCTATTATCTATTTTTAGTGTAGACTAAATATATATTGTGAAAATTAGATTAAACATGAAAAATTTAATTAATTAGAAAAATATTTGTTTATGGAGTCTCAATTTATCCAGTTTATTGTAATGCCTATAGTATAAAAAGAATTAAGATATAATCTATTTTGTTTTTTTGGTCATTTTCATGGAATTATTCTGCTGTTATCTATTTTTAGTGTAGACTAAATATATATATTGTGAAAATTAGATTAAACATGAAAAATTTAATTAATTAGAAAAAAAACATATTTATAATTTATAGTTTAATAAAAATATTCTTATGAAGAGTCTCAATTTATCCAGTTTATTGTAATACCTATAGTATAAAAAGAATTAAGATATAATCTATTTATCTAAGTTTTGAGTTGTTCATTTGGTCATTTTCATGGAATTCTTCTGCTATTATCTATTTTTAGTGTAGACTAAATATATATTGTGAAAATTAGATTAAACATGAAAATTTTAATTAATTAAAAAAAAACATATTTATAGCTTAATAAAAATATTTGCTTATGAAGAGTCTCAATTTATCTAGTTTATTGTAATGCCTATAGTATAAAAAGAATTAAGATAAATTTTGAGTTGTTTTTTTGGTCATTTTCATGGAATTCTTCTGCTGTTATCTATTATTCGAAATTATAGCTTAAAAAAGAAAATTTAATAAAAAAAATATTGACTTTACGTGATGAGTGATATATAGCGCATTCGCCCTCTAACGTTCAATACACAACAGAGCAACGCTAGGTTTTCCTCATTTCCATCTAATTGGAATTTATTAATTTGGGGGAAAAAAAAAATATGAGGAGCCCTCCACACGTTTGTGGGCAAGCCGCACGTACTTGCCCGCACAACATTTATAAGAAATGTTATTAAAACGTCTATAGGCTTAGAGGAAAAGAGCGGGACCAAAAAATAGCCTATATCCAAGAACTGCTTTTAAAATTAATTACTTTAAAGGTGGGAGGTGGATAATTTAACTTAAAAAGTTTTACTGTAAGTTTATTTATTTTAGAGGTAAAAAAGAAAATACTTTCGAGAGGAATAAATCCACATGAGAAATCGAAGAAGAAAAGTAAGAAAAAGGTATGTGAACAAGAGATCCCTAGGAACAATTTTCATCTGAAATATCTATCTTTGATGCGAAAGAGTTTTCTGATAGACCTTTTGCAATTATTAAGCTTTATAAATTGTTTCATGTTTACATTCAGCTCCATCACGTCTTTTATAGCTTTGTAATACCATAACGATTTATATTTAGTATACTGTTTCCCTTTATGTGTATATAACCAAACGATAGCATCATGTGCAAGGTTGTGATCTGAATTCCTTATTATATGGGCTAGGAACTGTATCCGACGTTTTTTTAACGTAATATTTATCGGAGTGTGGCTAGATTTCCTCCAAAGGTTAGAGTTAGAGATAACTCTGGGATAAAAAATACCATTTATAGTTCTCAGACAATTATTTATAAAGGATTGAATGCGTCTTAAGTCAGTCTTCTTAACTTCCCATATGTCACTTCCGTATAATAAAATGGGGATAATAGTAGAGTTGAATAGCCTCAACCTCGTAAAAACCGATATTTCCATAGACAGATTTTCATGTACATATAGAACGCTCTTTTGGCTTTTTGCGTTCTAATCTTCATTTCCTCTTTGCATTCCCCCTTGTTATTGAGCATCACACCCAGGTATTTGATATTATCTACTTTTTTGATAACGTTCCCGCCTACCAAAAGATTTTGGAGCGGTGGTGTATTTGGCGAGGAAAGAATAACCGTTTTATTGAAATTAATTTTTAAACCAACTCTGAGGCTTATGGTTTCGATAAGGTAAATCAGACTTACAGTCTCTTCAATATTTTTTGATATTACAACAATATCGTCGGCATACGAAACGATCTTATTAACAAAGTGAAAATTTTCATTAGACCCAAAGTCAGCCAAGTCTGCAGCAGCATTTACCTCCTTTATGACTTTATCTATTATGATGTTAAAGAGAAGCGGTGATAAAGTGCAACATTGTTTTTCTCCCTTTTTTATCTTGAAGGAGGGTGATATTTTATCGTTTGTTTTAAAACATGAAGTTAATTTGGAATAATGATTCCTTAAGATGGATGGAGATAATATTTTGTTCGACACCGCATTCTGATAGTGCTACCCATAAGGCGTTATGATCTACATTATCAAAGGCCCTACTAAAATCAATAAAAGTGTAATAAGACGGAATCCTGTATTTCCAGCACTTTTGCATAATTATTTTCAGCGATAAAATAGGTTCCAAAATATTTTTATTTGGCCTATATGCGAAGATATATTTAGAAAGAAGATGGGGTTTAGAAGTTAAGATCCTGTTCTTGATGAGTGTCATAAAGACTTTCGATACACAGGAGGTCAGAGCTACTGCCCGATAGTCCGCGAATTTCTTAGGTTCCTTGATTTTCGGGAAGTTGCACAGGAGAGATTTATTCCATTCTGTCGAAGTTTTCCCACTTTCCCAAATTTTATTAAAGAGAGCAAGGAGAAAAGAAGAGATTATGTTCGGGGATATTTTTAAATATTCAGCAGTAATGTTATCCAAACCCGGAGCTCTATTGTTCCGTAGTTTCTTTACAATGTTTGAAATTTCATTTGAAGAGAAACCAGCCGGGGATATAATTGTATGAGAATTCATAGTAGTTAAAGGAGTAGCCTTGCGGGAGTCGAAAATCGACATATAATGATCCAGCCATAGTGCCATTTGCTCATCTTGGTCTGTTATGGTTTTCCCATTCGCTAAGACAATCATAGGGAGTTTCACGAAGCAACTGGATTTGCAGAAGTACTTTAATTTTTTATATGCATCGTAGATCCTGTTCTCTTTCATATCTTTATCAATGTCAGCCGCCTTTTAGCTATAAAAATTCTCCTATCTTTCCGTAGTAATCTTTTAATGTCTTTCCATAAATCAATGTTAGAGCTGTTCGTCATTCTTAGTTGATATATCTTCTCAAGAGTTTCATCAGACATCCATTCTTTCCTAGATACAATATTTACGTTTGGCAGTCTCTCATAAGATTCCGCTAGTTCTTTCTTAAAAAGTTCCCAACAATCTTCAACGTTTCCATTTCTGGTAACATTAATAAAGGTTCCTTTTTTCAAAATAAGGGATTGTTCAAAGAGAGTTTTATTTCCATGCAATAGAAACTTATTTGATTTACGTGGAAAAATTATATTGGACGAGGTAACATTGATGGCCATTAAGTTAGGAATACTATTATTATGGTATCCCCAGATTTTTTTATTTTTATAACTGCAATAACCATATTATGATCAGATATATTGACCCTGGTAGATGCTTTAACATCCACAAACCAACTATGAATATTAGAAATAAAGAAGTCAATTTGAGATATCTGCCTGCCCCTCACAAAGGTATATTTGTTGATATCACGATGGCAGAAAAAAGTATTTTCTACCTTAAAGTTTTTGTTACTGCAGTAATCTAGGAATTTTATGCTGTCTACATCATTAGATTGTTGAATGGCAGCTTGCCCAATAACTCCTCTACTTATATATTCACTGTCTTTACCTATTTTCATATTGAGATCACCCAGGATTATTACGTTATATCTATTTGAGAGAGAGTTTAATATATTTATCATTTCGTCCAAAAAAATTTTCCTCATGTTCCTATTAGATGGGGCATAAAAATTCACAACAATAGTGGGTCTAAACTTGATATTCAGATATAGAAGTCCACACCTCTCCGACACAGGTACAAATTTTATAATGTATTTATGTAAACGTTTCTTAGTCAAAAAGGCGATTCCGGCCCAACTATTTGAAGTGGTTCCCGAACAAAACATCTTATATACACTAAAATTTGCCGTACTGTTACCTGGGCAATGAGTTTCCTGGATGCCTATTAAATCTACTCCTTCTGCTTCCAACAATCTTAAAAGAACCGTCAATTTATTATTTAGTCCATTTATATTTAATGAAGCTATTTGCAACTTTCCTGTGAATAATTCCTAAACAAACCAACCGTGAGTAATATGAATACAGAAAAGATATAGAAATTTAAATTAGAAAATCCTACCTTGAAATAAATTTAGGCATGAGTAATGCGTGAGTAATATGGATACAGAAAAGATATAGAAATTTAAATTAGAAAAATCATACCTTAAAATAAATTTAGGACAAAAAACAAATACTTTGTCCTCTATTTAACCTACCATGCTTAGATAATTCATAAAGAAAAATAATTCCAAAAAAAAACACTAATAGTCGAATAGACTCCTATTTATTAACATTTTATTTCTAGTGGTAGTGTTCGAACTACTTATGCATTAAGGGTAGTTTAAACTACTTATTTAATTCTCATAAAAAGAAATCATGAAAAAGTATAATAATACATTGTTAAATTAATTATAAAAAAAAATGGAGAGCTAATTTTTAATAAAATAATTTTTATTTATGAAAAAAAATATATTTATTTATAAATAAAAAAAAAATTATTTGAAATAAATAAATATTGTTAATGGTAAAAAAAAACAACATGCGTTCTTTAAAAAATCTTTTTTTATAATTTTTTAAATGCAACAATAGTTGCATAGTAACAATAGCCTATTTTATATAATAATAATAATAATTGACAGCCCTTCACTTCTTCAACGTCATCACGACAATAGCTATGTGTTTTATTTTACCTGATATATATATTCATCTATCAAAATTGATCATGAGATTTACAAACCTACATTCTGTCAGATAACATGACAGCTTCTCGTTATCTTTTCAGAAGTCTCGGTATCATTTATTTTTTGTTCGCTCCTATGGACATCTGAAAGAGGCAAAAATTAATGACCCTGCCTGTATGCTATAATGAAACCAGTATTCTTGTCTATGATTATATAGCATATGTGTTAAAAAAACATGGATATTCATACTTATATGTATCAGATAAAGAATCCGATTCTAAAGAAGTTTTATACACACTAAAAGAATTATCTGATGAATTTGAAACCCGATATAAGGATGTATTTGAAGGTCTTTGTGTGCAATTAAATATTATAAGTGTGCAAACAGCTTATCCATCATTTGTCGCTGTTGCTAAAGAACTCTTTAAGGATGGAGGAATAAAATGGGGGAGAATTACAGCTCTCTTTGTGTTTTCTGGTCAACTTTGTTTAGAATGCATTAATAAAGACTTACCACAACTAGTGGGACAAATTGCTATTTGGTTAAGTCAATTTGTTGAAAATAATCTTTCAGAATGGATCGATGAACAAGGGGGATGGGTAATATTATACCAATTAATTATACTAAAATTGTATATTCAGCAAGGTTATGTAGAGTTCTATCAAAAATGTCCAAACATAAAAAGTGAGAATACTTGGCCAACTATTACAAATTTTATATGCGGTATTGCAGCAGGTTTAAATCACCAATAATATATAACATTACCTAAATTATATTTAGGCGCATTGGGGGCTATAACCTTAAAAAATTGGTTCAATACCTCATGAAAAATATAAGTTAAAAAGCATTGCATTTATTTTCTGTGTAAATATATTTATTTGACAACATGCTTGTACATCAAATATCTGACCATTGATTTATATTATAAAAATTATTTATTATAGAAAAAAAAACTAACTTTTAATGTGTTACCATTAAAATATAGGCAAATAAAATTAAGCACAGTATAATTTAATACAATTTTTTTTAAAAATCAAATAACAATTACAGATTTATAATAAAAGTTTTAAGTGAATATTATTATAATTTCTTTAACATATAATAGTGCATTACATATAAAGGGTTGATGCTTCAGGAGATCTATTTAGGAAATTATTGAAAATAGCTTAAACCATGGGCTAATTTAATATAAAAGGGTCATATTTCTCCATACTTGAAGTTATTACACAACCAATAAGACTCAAATGGCAAATGAACATGGCAATTTTCTATACCTAATGAGTTTCTTATTGATCTTGATAAAATTCCAAGTTAAGTTTGATCCATTCAAAAAACTTATGTTTTTAGATAAATAAATAATTAATGTAAAATTAATTTAATTCTATAATATTTAATGCAAGAACATTAGAAAAAGTATTTTCATTATTTGAGATAGTTCGTTCATGTAAGAACTGGAAATAGATAAAAACTAGTTTTCTTATCTAAGTTTAAATTCAAATATCAATGTTGAGGCCATATATATTACTTGTGTATTGGTTATTTTAATCAGCATTATATAAAATTAGGGTGTGAATATCTGTATTTAAAATGCAAATACCTTTTTTTTGTATTTAATATTTAGTTTAATAATGAGTATTTATATTAAAATATACTAAAAAAATATTTTGTATTTATTACAATATCAAATAAATATAAATACTATTAAAATATACATAGACTTTTAAGTCATGATTGATTTTTGAAAATGATAAGATATATAGGACCTTTTAAATGCATTTTATTAGAAATTTTATACTTAAAAAACATATCTTTATAATACAAAAAAATGTATATATTATAGTAATAAAAATATAATATAATCTTTTAATTGAAAGAGTAATAAAACAAAAAGGTTAATAAACTATAATAGTAATAGAAAATGGTTATACGAATTATATTAAGATAAGAAAAATAAAGGTAAAATTTGAATATAAGAAAAAGGGCAAAATTATACTAAACATTTTAACTTTGATACCACTAGGGAATTTCTTCCTGTTGGATAAAATGTTTTCAGGAGTTTGGTCTACAAAATCAGTGTTAGGCTAGGACAAAGGGTCTGCAATCATGCCTGCCATTGAAGGGTCTATGATAGTTTCCTTGCTGTGAACATCCTTTTACCTTTCTTTATTATCAAGTGATTCCTTTTAATTTCAATTTCCAAATCTTTGGGAGCTAGTTAGTTTAAAAGTGATATAAATGCTTTTCCATAATTCTTTTTATCTTTTCTTTAAATATTACATAGGACTGATCTGGTTAGTTTTTCTGGTCGATCCTTGGTGATATGACAAGATTTATATGTATTTTATAATAAGATATTCCAAAATTATTTAAAACATTATCCATGAAATAGAATTCCATTATTGATTATGTTCTTGGGGTTCAATCTTTTAAATAATTTGTCTAAGTACTATAGTTTCAGTACTCTTTATTGAATTGACTAACTATATCTATGCCCTTCATTGCAACTTCAATAATAACCTTAGTTTTTTTTTGAAAGGGTCCTGCAAAAATCAAAGTGTAGTCTCGTCTATCGTCTACCACATATTCGGCCAAGCTGGGCTAATTAATGGGTTTTGGAAGATTTCCCTTTAAAAATTTTTTTTAGTTCTTTTTTAATATAATATATATATTTTTTTAAATATATTTTTTACTTATTTTTAATTTGATATTGTTCATATTTGTATTTAATTTTTTAAATCACTAATAGCAATTATCGCTATAAAGACGTCAAGATACTAAATCGCTATAATATATTCGCAATATATGTTTCGCGAAATAATTTTCGCTATATTGTCTTCACGATAAAGACTTCGCTATAAGATTATTTTAATTCGCGATAAAAGTTTCGCTGTAATGTATACGCGATAACGGTTTCGCTATAAAATATTCACGATATTGACTTCGCTAATGCGGATTCGCAAAAAAATGTTTCGTAATATTGACATGGTATACCATACTTTTGTAAGGACAATTGAAAATAATTGTAGTTATATTGAAAAAATATTTTATAAAAAAATGGTTCTCAATTAATTATCCTTGTTTCAGTCAATTTGTGAAAAATTGTCAAATTTTGTAAAAAAAAAATGCAAAAAGGACCTAGTTGGAATCGAACTAGCAACTATAGATGTTATCTGAACAATTATAGCAGCTATTTACCGCTATACACTTGAATTATTATAAATTATGTATTTCGTTATTTTTCATTTTATACATAATTTTAAATGTTGAATAATAATTAATATTATGTATTATGGCAGATGAATAAGAAATCTTAAATATATGTACTAAGATTTTTTTAAAAAATTTATTAGTTATCAATTATCATAAATATAGATAATGAACATTACTAATTTTATTTTATAAATGCTATTTGTACTTAAATTATATTATAAATATATTACAAAAATGATGGATTTATAGGTGAAATTGATAAAAAATCCTTTTGACCATTTTCAACTACAACTTTTAATACTATTACGTATACTTATATAATATTTATAAAATATTTTTTACAATAATTATTTTGATTTTCTAAGTAAAATTCGATCATTAATAATGTTTGTTGAGCACTCTCAGCTAAAGTTTAAAAATACTATAGTTCACAATAATCATAAAGATTTTAACCTATCAACTTATATTTTACAAATATGATTTAGAAAAATGACAATAATTTATTTTTAAAAGATTTTTTACAAAAATAATTTGGAATTACCGGTAAAGTTTAATGATAAATCCTGTATGAGAATTTTTAACTGGGCCATTTTTCAGAGTTTAAAAATACTATTATATGTATTTATATATTATACACTACTTGATTTCATGAAAGATTTACTATATATCATAAATTCAGTTTAGCAATCTCAAAAATATCTTCATTTTAAATTTATTTTAGATATCGAGCAAATGTTGTACTCTGCTTTTTTTTAAACATGCTTCTGATGTTTTCCTATATAAAAATATAATATAAACAATCCTTCAATGAATGGTTATCTATCCCAAACACTACTCTAAATAAATTATATTCAAATATAGAGATAGATTTTCAAAAAATTGTAATAGGAAATATCATAAAAATATCCCCAAAATATTCTTTCATAAAAATACTATATTTTTTAAATTAATTTTGATTGATAGAAGAAAAATTGAAGTCAGATTATTTGATTTCGGCTAGAGGTCTGCATTGGGTGGGCAAAAAAGTTTTAAAACGGGCAGGCGGGCGGGTTAAAATATGTTTTAAACTATGGGGGGGGGGTTAAGAAATTTAAACAATAACAATGGGCACGCGAGTTAAAAAAATTTAAAATTTTTGTTATTTTAAATCATTTAAGTAAATATTAATAAAAAATTGTTCTTATTAATTTTTTTGGATATTAAAAACCAAAATTTTCCTTTAAAAACTTTTTTCTTAAAATAAATAAACTATTTTATATATTAAAAATTAAAATTTCCTTTTGGTAATGAAATAAAACCTTTTTCTTAAATTAAATAATCTCTTATTGAAAATTAAAATTGGTAACTCGAAATTCGGGGAAATTTTTAATATTTTATTTTTTTATAAGTTAGGACTATTTTTTTTTGTGAAAATTTCCACATAATTTTACATTATAGAATATATTATTTTAAAATTTAATAAGGCGTGTGCCATATTGAATGCTACTAAGTGAGTACTATTAAATCAAATACTAGATAATTAAGCAATATATTTGAATAAACATTATATAAACTGATAATATATATATATTATATATAATTTTAAGGAAAAAATAAATAGTTCTATATAAATCTATATCATTTAAAAATTTAATTAATTTACTTAAATTTGATATATTTTTAATATTACATAAATAAGAATATTCACATATATATAAACCAGAGGAAGATTTTCTTCCAGTTCTAGGGATGCTCGCCTTAATTTTACTAAGACAATGGTATATTTTTTATTTTTTAATAAAAAATAATCTAAAATTACGCCAATTGAACAAAAATCATATGCAATTCTTAAAACTTTTGAGTAATTAAACTTTGAATTATTATTACATCAAAGAATTTCCACCAATATCCAGACGATCACATATTTATTATTATTTTGATAAAAAAATTTTTTAAAAATATTTAAGAAAAAAAAATAATATTTAAAATTTCCCCGAGTTTCATTGAAATACCAATATATAAATTTTATAATTTTTAATTAAAAATATTTTTTAATTTAATTTTTAAATTATATTATTAATAAAGAATATTATATATATCTAAAAAATAATTTTTACAAGTTAAAAGAAAATGATTCAGATAATAATAAACTCAAATCTTCAATGTGGAAACAATAAAATCATTTTCGATGAAAATGACAAAATGCTAGATCGGATTCGCTGCAATGATTGCTAACCCATCTATAAATATAATAACAAACAGGTTTCTTCTTCCTTCGGCATCAATGTTCATCTGCAAATTATGAAAATTTGATAGATAATAAAGATAACCGGATATTTCAAAAAAGTAATTCTCAGTTAAACAAAATAATAAAATCGGGTTTAATTGCCAATTTTGTAGAATATTGTGTTAGAGACATTTATTTTAATTAAATTATTATATAATCTTTTTTTAGGCCATTTCAAACCATTCATTCAAGGACCTGGATTTGTAAATATTTTGCAAAGATTTGTCGATTAAGGGCCATATAAAAAATTGGATGCCTAAAAAATTATTCCATGCCCCACAACAGTTAGCAGGCACTTAGACAAAGTAACTGAGGATCTTAAGGAAATATTATTTCCTAAAATTGGCGAAATGAAAATTTTCGTTTGCCCAGGTACTAATGATAGGTGGTGTGCGGATTTTACTAAAACCGATTAATATCTCTATCAATCCATTTTATTCAAAATTGTAAATTAGAAAAAATTTATTTTTATTTCACAATTTCAAGGGGAAATGAGAATATTCTTAAAAAATTATTAAATT